TCTAGGATTAAAAATTATGGTAGATAAATATTTATATACATAATTTATTAGGTACATTTAAATTTATTGAAAATAATATAATATCTTAAACATATAATAATATTATTTAAAAAATATAAAAGATCTCTTTCTTATAATATTTTGACTTATTTGTTTAAAAATATTAGAAATATCTGCAGATTTGTCTTCATCAAAACGTTGACATAACATGTTCAATCGAACTTCAATTTTTTTTACCAGCTTTTGTTTTTTCCGATTTATTTCTTCTAATTCAGCCAATGTCATTCTTGCCTTGTGATATTATACCATTATATTATTTTCAGATCTTTTATATTTGAATAACTACATTTTTATATTTTTTAAATAATACCTATTATTATATGTTTAAAATATTGTATTATTATATTATTTTCAATAAATTTAAAATGTTCCTAATTATGTATATAAATACTTATCTACGATAAAATATTAATTTGGTGACTTTTTTTCCGTGGGACTTTCTTACCGGGGACTTTTTTTCCTAATATTATTTGATACTTCTGTGAAACGATTATTAAGGATTATTACCTATTCTTAGTGCAAACATTTTAATTACTAAGAAACTACTCATTCAATTTTTTTATTAAATACATCAAAATTTAAAAAAAATCATTTACCAAATAATTTACAGTAAAAAAGGGGGTCCTCATTTGAGAGACAGAACTTTGTATCGCCACAGGACACTCTTTAAGTATTACAAGAAATCTCAAGAATTTGAAAATATGGTCTTTGAGTATATTTGAAAATTCCAAAAATTAGAATTCGAATAAATTCATTATTAAAGGAAAAAATAGTGGTGAGCATGTTTAGGGAATCACTCTGTATTATATTATTTATATTTAATATTATAGCATCATTATATTAAGTCGGGCGGCTAAGTGTTGGATTCAAGGACCATCATGGAAGACAAAAATGACTACGACGTTGTTTCATTTTTGGAAAATCCATGCTTCACAGACCGTAGGGTCTTGTAAAATTAAAAGTTGCATACAATCAATATTCAATATCAATCATAACTTTAGCATAAAACACCATCTTAGATTATTATATATTTTAACTTGTAGCCTAATAGGCAATTGGGCTGACGGGTTTGTCAAAAATCACAAATTTACAAAATCATTGAAGAAACAATGAGTAAATGACGTCACGTACATCATTCTATTCTAACAATATGCGTTATCAAATTTCTTATCAATCAATAGTTTTCATTCATCCGGACTCCGGAGTTCGTACTCGTATAAAACATCCAAGACGTGTAGCACGTTTTATTGTTTTATAGTCTGTCCGATTTGACGTTTCTGGTTGTTGTCTAATGGCTATAACTTAGTACTGATTATAATAAATAGTAAGAGATTGTGTCTATCGTCTGTCGTCGCTATCGCTGTTGCTCATTGCCTTCCTCGTTCGTTCGTGCGACAATCATTGAAACCATCCGTTCTTGTCCGAAAACCTATTCTGTTTATATAATTTAAACGTAACAGTTAGGAAATCGTTGTTTTATGAAACGAATCTTTTTAGTTGTTTGTTCCGTTAAAATATTATTTTGTAATCCGCTTCTGTTTTTTTTTTTAAATTTAAATTTAAATATTTAATAATATTATAGTAATATACATTATAAATTTGACTTCAAGTATATTACTTTACATTTAATGAAGTAATGGCCGTTTGCAGTTCAGTAGTGAAGACTATTGTACCTGATTACAGTAATGGCGACTGTGTCAAATTATGTAGTGAACACTACTGGCCACCCAAAGATGAAAACAATCAAGTTTATCGACATTTACCTCCAACCACAGACACTGTGCTGACAAAACCATTTCCAATTAGAGGTAAATTATTTCCACACATTTTTTTGCCTTATGAATTAATTTTGATGGCTTGTTTCTGTTAAGTAGGAATTTACTAAGTTAATTATTAGGTAATAGGTACTTAAGTAGTTAGAAATACTATCATACTATATTTGATAGCTTATCTTAGGGATATGGTACAGTTTTGGAATTTAGACAAATATTTAGGTATATAGTTATTATGATATTATTTGTAGGTTTGAATGGAAGATTGCTGTTTTTAAATTTTAACTATTGATTTATTAAAGCTAGGTATCTAAATATAGTGTTCAAACATATTTTAAAATAATTTATAGCCTAATAATACATTTTAAGCTCAATTAGATAATTTGTTAGATGAAGAAATTTATTTAACTTCTTTATCTAGGTAGTTAACTTCGATAATATTAAAGCAA